TGTGATACATTACTAAGTCTGGTAAAGGGAAACATGATAAGCTTTGTATTCATTTGTGGAACATGCTCTAATGCAAAGACACTGCTCAGTGCTACAACAAAGAGGTAGAAGATAATGAATGCACAGTAATGATTAGAATGTAATATAGACAGCAGGATGTTTTCAGTATTAGAGCACGATCATTGATTTCCTTTTATCTTGTAAAACTAAAGTCAAAAAATTGTGAAAAGTTTAAAATTTTTCTGATGTGAATTTGAGGCCCAACATATATATACACTGGAAGCATTAGATGTTTGTGAATAAAAACATGCACTGTAAAAAGATGATGATGCTTCTAAACAAGAAAAGAAAGAAAGAAAAGATTCTGGGTTCAAACGATTCTCAGGAGAAGACAGCAGCAGGGAGAATTTCAAGGTTTCCAGGAGTTGAAGCTTTATCGGCATCTAGCTGTGTGTATGTGTCAGGTACAATAGTATCTTCGATTATTGCATATTCAGTACTGGTGACCATTTTCAACTCAGAGTTCACTTGTTGCCAAATGCAGTGGTCTGATTGGTCAGATCTGTTTACTGAGCTGATAAAATAAATACTGCAAATTGGTCCTTTAAAGTTATGTGTTCAGTGTAAATGGCTGATAAAGAACAGGTGAGTCAGCAGAAAAAAATGTAATGCACAAAATATTTATACAAATTGTATGTGTCAGGTCTGTGAAGGTCTTAAGATTTAATTTTTTTTTTTTTTACACTGAAATGTAAGCTAATTCTTCATGGCTCGAGAAAGGAAGACATTTTTCCTGGTGACAGAGAGCTAGTTTCAGTCTTTTAGCGTGATTTTAAGGATGTAACTCTTTTACTTTATGCACTTCTTTTAAAAATAAATTAACTGGAAACATCAAAAACTCAGACAGATGCAATCTTGTTTTGTCAGTTTACTTGGAGAACTGAGGTTAGCACAATTAGCTTGCTAGCTAATGTGAAATAAGAAGCTGCTTGTTCCCTTAACAGATTTTTATTAAAAAGCATTGCTTCATAAAAACAGCTAAGAACATGGAAATTAAACTAGCCTCTGTTGTCAGAGTAAACTCCAAAGAAGCTGTTTGACAGGGAAAGGTTTCTCTAAGTGTTAAAAAAATCTTAAGAAGCTTTGATTTCTGCTCCCTCTAAAAATGTTTTAGAAAAATTTCCATCTTGAATCTTTATGGTCTTCATGGCTTGTCAGCTTCATTTGTATTAGTTTGCGTTGGTTTTGAGTCTTTGTGCAGTTTTATTGATCCTTTGTGCTCATTTTGTGTCTCCATAGTCGTATAGGCTTGAGTAGTTTGTATGAGCCTCTTTGTGATGATCGTCCATGTCTTTTTGTTCTTTTATGCTCTTTTTGTCTCTGTGCATACAGGAAGCTTTGGCCACACAATTATTGTTAAATGATGCGTGGGTCTAGCTCATGTTAATTTGTTAAAATATAGTACTATGAATTGTTGTTATATACAGCAATATAATGACAAAAACACATTAATAACACGCAGGCAGATTCCTCATCTAAATCATGATAAAAATAAAACCTGTGGTCATTTCCATGCAGTGTTGACTGAGCTCCCTTGAATGCTGAACCTCATAAATCAGGCAGCAGTTGGACTGTAAAGACATGCTGATAGAGTAAAACGACTGCTGGAGTATCAGAAAACAGTCCCACTGACGGAGGAGGTGCTTCCACTTTAAGTGTGATGTAGCAGTCATGTTTTCCACTGACACATGAAATCCGGGCACACGCAGCTTGAGGCTCGTTGGATAACAGCACCAAGCTAATGGTGTGTGCTTGTGCTACTCTCCAGCTTTAGCATGCAGAGAGGTGATCAAGAGGTTATGTTAAAATACAGTAAATGTACCAGCACAAGGCACACCCTCAATCAGAAGCACACTGGGTTTCACTGTTTTTAGACGAGCACAGTGAGAAAGTTGTTGTGTGGAATGCTAAGGCTGTTAGCACCTTGCATCATGACTCGGCAGACCACCTGCACTTTTGTGCTGATGAGTCTGTCTTCAACTCAAATTAATACAAGCTCTGCACTGGAAATGAAGCTGCACTGCACCATTTACATGGTGACATGGTAGGATGGGCTTTTTTCAGAAAGCCATTGTGTCGTAGACTTTGTAAGTGACTTGTTGGTTTGATCCATTTGCCTTCTGGCCAATGGTGACATGAGAAGGTTTAAACCTTTCTCATATTTGTGTAGTATGTAGCCAACAGCTGATGTGCTTAGCTCAGCACAAAGCCTGGATGCGGAGTTGGAAAAATGAGAATTGTCCTTTTAAGAAGAACTTTGTGCCAGGCTAAAGACCTATTTCATAACATCCATTTGACATTAAACATAGGTGTTAACCATACTAATTAAAGTTCTGCACCTAAATAAAGCTGGACCTTCATTAATGCAGTTGGTAACACCACTGTTTACCTAAGATTTCATGTTAAAACAGCAGAACCTGAGACATTAAGAATCTCCAGGCAATAACTAATAAAGGGGACTTCTTATATTAATTTCAAGTTCCATATTTTATCATCTGTGTCTACAGAAGTTGCTTATTTATCTCACTGAGGAATCATGTGACTGCTAACTGTGTCATTAACTTGCCCGCCATTTTGGATAAGTGACAATCATGGTGACAATGTAGGGTGAGTGCACAAAGTCCCAGACTCATGCAGGCCTACAGACTGATCCACAACCATCTGGCAACCACTGTCGGTGAGGCAAACACCTCTCTGCAACTGCTTTGGGTTGCTAGCAGACTGGTACAGTCACTGGAACACGCTGGGAATCTGTGATTGCCTATTAATGTTTGCAGACAAATACATGTCTTCCATCCAAAGTAAAGCTGCCCCAGCAACCTTCCATATGAATGGAAGACATCTGTTTGTCTGCAAACAATAATAATCAAGCGGTAGCTATCATATATAAATCATAAGGAGGTTTTTGGTACAGACACTCCAGCGACAACTGGTGACCGTCAGGAACCACTCTCCAATCAGATACACATTTCCCCTTGTAACTAGTAGTTGTATCACATCCTATATGGCAGAAAGCTCTTGTGTAAAGTCCACATAATGTTGCATGAAAAACTTCTATACTGGGATGCGATGCTGCTCCTCAGTTCAGTGTTTCCTGTAGGGTAGGGTTTGTGCTCGGTCATGGACACGTAGCAGCGTAAGAGAGTGCGGACAAATAGTCATTACTGGCTTTTCAAGTCCACTTAAAGTTTGCCTGAAGTGAACATGTGTAAGTTAGCATTATAGTGTAGTATCTTGTGAAAAAGTCTTCGCAGTTACAAAAAAATGACAGACACGCATGTATCTAGTGATAAAATTCTGTCACTCTGAGACAAACTGACTTACATGATGCCAGATGTGAAATTTATCTTAACCTGGAGAGCTGGTGGGACAGACTCAATGCAAATAAGCTGTGGAACACTGAGAATAAGGAGTGAAACTCAGTTAAATGAATTTCAATTTTTGGGTTATTTATGACACTGCTGATCTTAATTTCACAAAAATTAACTTGAATTATTTTTTGTAATTGAAACTGTGCGGTGCCTGCTCAGGGCAGGTAGAAAACTTTCCAATTTGCAGCATGTGGGAGAAAAAAATCCCCCAAAGTTAATTACATGCAGACAGCTTAATATTGCCATCGCAATTTATACTCGATGGTTACGATAAAGCCATTTTAACCATTGTACGTGGACAAACGAACACATCGAGTACATTCGATATATTGCCCACCCCTACATTCACCATTATAACAGTGTAGTCTTGGCACTTTCTTTTTACACAGTGAAAACAAATGTGATAAAACGTTATCTGGTAAGCTTTAGAGAAGAGCTTAGTCTGACTTGATTGCCAGACTAACCATGTCCACTGTTTGCCTGTTTTATGCTAAACTAAGCTGAGCAGCTGCTGGACGTAGTATCATAACGATATCAGGTGTCAATATGTTTCTCCAAAGTCATACATGGAGTCATGGAGGTAAAAGAGGCCTGGAATAATGATATATATACATCCGCAAAAACGAGAACATCTGTCAACTGTCAATATTTATCTTTTGTGTTGGCTAAAAGTTCAGAAGCCCTGCAAACAGTATTGTTTGTTTACAAAGATTTTTTTGTTGGCTGAGGACAAAGGGCTAATAAATTACAACACAGACACAGAGGTGTTGGTGCTAGCTTTTCTCAGTATATGCCACCCTAGTGACCAGGTTGCTATTTACTGCGTTGCATAATAAAGGCAGCAGTTTGGGGGTATCAGGGTTTAACCCAATAATTCCTACTGCGATACCAGTCCTGGTGTTATTGCCAGGTGTGACCTGTATAACTGGGGCTGTGTGAGAATGACACCGGGCCACTAGGGGAAGCTGAGGCCGGTTACCTGACATCATACTCCCTCTGCTTCGACAGGTTGCACGCAACCTACATGTGCATATGTAGGTAGGTTACAGCCCACCAGTCAGCCGTGCTGCTCTGCTGCTTCACACCGCATCCAGCGCTCCCTAACGCCAAACACACACACACACACACACACACACACTGGAGCACGTAAGGCTGTTTTCACCCTTGTCACCAAAGCACCACTCTGCGCGTCCCACACAACACCGTGCACCCTTCCACGCATGAAGCTTCTCAGTGGTCGCTTTTCACGCAGTCGCGTCAAGGACAAGCAGAGCCCAGGATTAAGCACCGAAGCAGCTGTAACGGGGTGGGTGGGGGGGGGCTGGTGGCGAACACACCGTCCTGTAGCAAATTGCTGCACAAGCTATACGCGTTATCACACGGTGTGGAATAAACACCAGAGTCCGCAGTCGCGGTGACATTCAGGTGCTCCGTGTACCGAGACCCCTGACAGTCCGCACATACAGCTCGTCCGACATTTTGCTCTGCGGGTGCGCTTCTTTCATTAGCAGCCACGAGCCGGACTGAGAGCGATTTGTTACAGGAATAAACGCAGCGCACGGAGCTTACCCGGGTCGCCATCTTCACGGTTGCGGTAGATCAGGGGCTCGCAGTTTGAGTCAGCGGCACACAGGACAGCAGGGACGGTCAGGGCGAAAGGATCGACAGCAGATGGGCTTATAAGCTGCGGCTCACTCGGCTCTGATTGGCTGATTCGAGCGGAAGCGGAGGGAGACGTCACCCTACTCGTCTGGATCTTTGAGCAAAAGTGGGTCTACATCGTTAAGAGTGGCATCCCGGTGGATAGCGTTTGCATATTTGGCACGTGCACATATATTAAACAGTTTTTTCCCCCCTTTTTCTAATAACAATAATGTGAACTCTCTAAATTCTAAAGTGACTTTCAGTGCAGTAAGTGTCATCCTGCCTCCATTTATCGGCTTTTTATTTTTTGGTAAATGAAGCCAGAGCTTCAGATTTCTGCATGTCAGCACCACGGACAGCGCTCTGCCCCACACGCTGCTGAACTGCACCACCCCACGGCTGAACTAATTCAGCACCACGGACAGCAGCGCTCCGTCCAGGCTGTATGTTTGTTTGATCGCTTAAAGGTCCCGACAGCAGCTGAGACTCGCTAAAGCGTACAAAGTTAGAGCAGGAAGAAGCAGGAAGCTGAAGAAAGTCTCAGGCAACGATGATCGGCTAACTTCTGTGTTTACATTAAAGAATCATATTGACACAACAGATAACACACCAACATAAACTGGACATTAATGTAGGGGTGTTTTTAAATGATTATTTTTACTCTAATATTATTCCTGCAAGATCTCTTAGCTAACTAGCAACAGCACATTGAAACTTAAAACTTAAAAGCATACTTGGGGCGATCGTGGCTCAAGAGTTGGGAGTTCGCCTTGTAATCGGAAGGTTGCCGGTTCGAGCTGGACTGGACTGGATATGTAAAGCGCCTTGGGGTCCTTAGGGACTAGTAAAGCGCTATATAAATACAGACCATTTACCATACTTCTATTTTATTCTATCAAAAGTTGGGAAGTGTTAGGAGGTGGTGGGTAGTTGTATTGTTGTTTTTTGGGTTTTGTTTCCCTTTTTGGCATAGGTAGGCGGGGCGGGGCTTGATGGCATTCCGGCACACCTGCGGCGCATCGGACGTCATCAGTGAGCGCTTTTATGGAGCTGAGTCACGGACGTCTGGTGTCGGAGTATTGTCGCTGTCATAAGTGGTAACGTGTTGGTGCAAGCTGAATCTGTTGATTCCACGCTATTGAGCTGCATGTTTTGAGGATCCATCTCCTGCCTGCTTCTCCTTTTTTCTAGCCTGTCCCGCTGCCTGCTCGTCTGCCTAGTTTTCTTTGTGTTGGCTTCTTTGGATCCGTGACGGAGAGTTACTTCATACCAGTCTGTGACCACCGCTACAGCTGTAGTTCTGTGTTTCAAGTAAGCTCTCCAACTCTCCCCGTCCACTTTAGTTTAACTCTCGGCTATCGACGTTACTCCGTAAACTTTGTTTGTCCCTCGTTTTCAGGTAGCTCCGGTGCGTCATCTGCCCACCCGCATACCTCGGCTCCGTCTCGTCTCTTCAGCTCTGCTCTTCTTGCACATTTTTACCTGTCACTGTATATAGTCCCTTCCCTTGTAAATATTTCCCTATCATTGTATATAAATCTGCATCACTACTATCTTGTGCCCGTGTGTGTTTCTGCCACTAAATCCATCCGTGTAAGTTCTCCTAACAGGAAGTTGTGTAGAATGTAAATAAAAACAGAATACAATGATTTGCAGATCTCAAAAACCCAAAATCTTTATGACAGAAAGCAAAGAAACCACCTGGGAAGGGACCATTGATGCTCAAAGGTCTATATACAGATTTCATAGCAACATCTGCTCCCATCCAGTGACGCCTCTTTAACTGAAGGCCTTGAATATGTCAGTAAGACAATGCTAAACCACACACTGCATCTATTATAGCAGCATGGAACAGCCTGCCTGCAATGCAGACTTTTCACCAACTCAAAATATTTGAAGTGTCATAAAACAGAAAGTAGAGCCAGGACTGCTGAGCAGCCAGAATCCTCCATCAAACAAGAACGGCACAACATTCCTCTCCAGCAGCTTCTCTCCTCAGTTCCCAGAAGTGGATGTGCTGTTGTTGAAAGAAGTGATGCTGCACAGCGGTAAACATCACCCTTCCCAGCTTTTAGAGTCATGTTGTTGATGCAATCATATTCAAGGTGATCTCTCATTAAACCCTTTAAGGCAGTGGTTCCCAAACTTTTTTTGCTAAGCCCCCCTTTGTTTTACAAGAAAAATGTTGAATCCCCCCCGTTGTCACGCACAAACACATCCTCCAACCACACACACCCATATTTTGCTCCATTTTGGTTTATTTCACACCTCAAACATTTAGTAAACAATTAAGCAAATACAAGTAATCTGCAATAAATTGCAGGTAGTAATAAAATAAACTCTCTTACGCTGCATCCGCACCTACACGGGTATTTTTTGAAAACGCAGCTGTTTCGTCCACGTAAACGGCGTTTGGAATCACCGAAAACTGAGATTTTTTTAAAACTCCTTTTTTGCGTTTACGTGTGGATGAGAAATACAGAGTTCATAACACAACATCAAAGGTATGAGCCTTTTCTCACGTCACGCTGTGTGCACGTTATTGTTTACATGAGAGGAATTGCAGAATGGCAGATAGAGACAAAATACTGTTAATCTGACTGTCTGCAGGTTTTACACGCAGTTACTGTCCCTCCATTTACAAAAGCAGAGGCGTCACTGTGTGATTATTTTACTGTAGTTTTTTTTTTCATGTGGAATAATATTCAACATTGCTATCAATACATTTTTCAAAAAATGCCTCTCTGTGCAAAATGGGTTTAAAAACATAAACAACTGTAGGATCCTGTTTGTCCGTGATTTGAACCGGGGGAACAAATCCTGGCAGGATCAGCCTGATGTTATTTGTATCCCGCTGTAACTTTACTGTATAAAGAGCTAACATCTCCAAAATGTCAGGAGTAGTTAGCCATTACAAGAAGTGTTTGTGAACTAAAAATCAAGAATGTGGGATACTGTTTGTCCGTGATCTGCAGAGCCCAGCGCTGCTCCCGATGAGGGGAAAAGCAATTCTGCAGGGGAGACCTACCTCCACACCTGTGCAGGTGAAGCCAAAGGGCAGATATGCTTCACCATATTTTCTAGTCTTTGGCTTAGAATGAAGTTGGTTTGGAAACATATTCAGCGATGCTTCATCTCCTGCTTTGCGTTAGTGTGGACGCCCCGTGCTAGCAGTGTCCAAGCATTTGTTTGTTTTGTTTTGTTTTTCTTCCCTTTTCATACCGCGCCCCCCCCTGCAATGGCTCTGCGCCCCACCTAGGGGGCAGCCCCCACACTTTGGGAAGGTCTGCTTTAAGGGAGGAAGTAGTAGATTGTTACAGCACTTTAATTACTTCATTTCAATCTTGAAGTTTCCAAAATTTTGAGTTTGACTCTAACTTTGATCAAACATGCGTAACTTCTTCAGCTGTTGAGGTAGAAGGTTAGCTGACAGAGTTCAGTTAAGTTCAGTTTAAATGTACAGAATTAGACTCGTGTATATTCACTAGTGTTTGATTCAGATTCAGACAACTCCACACTTTATTTAGTTATGGTGATTTATTGTTAAAAAAATGGAATCACAAAGTTATTCCTGCCAGAGTGGGGCAACTACACTGGGAAAAGCAACTGATTGGGTTCCTTTGTTTTCCAAGCATTCAAAGGAAGCAGGTCAGAGGTTACATCAGCTGACTCACGTACAGTCATATTGTGTCATATGAGGTCTGTTCTGTAAGTCTGCCTCGTCCTTCTCTTTTCGTCTGTTTCTTAGTCATTTTCTCATCATGCAGGATCTAAGGACCAGTTTGGGCCTCCATCCTGGTGGTGTGAAATGTTCTTCTTCTTCTTCATTTTTTTTTTTTTTTT